AGGAAAACACAAAAATATCAAGATAAGAAAATACAAAAATATCATTAAGTAATCTTCATGCATTTATTAAAAATATTTTTGTTGTGATTTGTTGGTTTGAGTAGAAAGAATAAAAAGAGTTTAATATCCTTAAGTAAGATTTTGAATTCAAATATTATGAATGAAAAATAAACGTTGGAAAATTTTTTTTTTATATAAGGTTCAAAGCAACTCAATTTCAAATTAATCAAAATTTAATATAATTTTTAAATACCAAAAAATTTACAACAAAAAAAAAATATATATATATATTTATCATTTAACTCTTGATCTTAGCCAAAGACCGAGAAAGGTATATATATATTACTCTAACCTCATGCTTTAAAGTAGAAGAAGAGCCAAACTTTTTTCATTTTGACGGGAAAGCTAGCTACCATTGACTTCGATCATATAGAAATTTCAGTCTTTTCAGCACTCATCGACTTACTGGCGGCCCCGTTGAAAAATGAATTTTTTTTAATTATTAGCTATTTTTAAATTAATTTTTATATATTTTAAATTTTTTCCTTAATTTAATTAAAAATAAATTATTTTTATTAAAATTAAAATTTTTTAAAAAAAATTATTTTTATTAATTTTTTAAAAAATTAAATTTTAATCAATAAAATAGAGAATAAACTCTTTTATTAATTAAATTATAACTTCTTAAATCCTTGTTTTAAAATTTTTTAGCTAATTATAGGTGTAGTTGTGATAGACCATAGATATATTATGGTCGAATAAATTATATTTAATATAATTAAAATTTATAAAAATTCTCTTAAAGAAATATTCAAGACATTTAAAATTATCTATTTTAAAATTTATTATAATTTATTAAATAATAAATATTAATTATGATTTTAAGTATTAATTATTTTTAATAATAAAATAAATTAAATTAAATATTTTTTAATGATATTACGTAGCCGTAATAAATTAAATATATTAATAAATAACTACAGTCACACCTAATTTTGTAGTAGTAGTTTTAACTTTCTTTCATTTTTTAATATCTCAAAATATATTTAATAATTATTTTAATTATTATTTTATATATTTTTCTAATGATAAAAAGAAAAATATTATGAGCTAAAGCACATGTTTCAAAACGAAACCACTGGGGAAGTGAAGAAAACAGGGTAGTAATTCTATATAGGATTTAAAAATTGCAACATCTAGCAATAAGGTCGTTGTAGTATAGTGGTGAGTATTCCCGCCTGTCACGCGGGCGACCCGGGTTCGATCCCCGGCAACGGCGTATTTTAAGTTTTTGTTCCTTCTGGTTCCGTGTATCCTTTACTTACCGGGAAATCCACGCTACAGATACTTTCTGTTTTCTTCTTTCCAATCTCGGACGCAAAACCAAATACCCACTTTAAGAACATGATTTTTTGGTTTAATGGTCATTGGTGTTTCCTTTTTAACCATCGTCTAGCTTTGGTTCCCTGAATCTCCGGCCATGTCCGGCGATCTCCGTCGTAATGTCAGCACCACAACCATTCACATCATGGCGCTAGATGGCATATTCAACGTCAACTCCCTCTTCACCATGGGGTCGTTCATTGGCCTCTCCTGGTACCCTACAAGAAACACAATCGAGGTTTCACCCGACTGCGCTGCCGGCCCGGAAGTTGCCGAGGATCTGATCGCTTTCCACATTTATTCATTCAGTTCCTTCCTCTTCTCCAGCCTCATCGCTTCAGCCCTCAAACAAGCCATCAAAATCCACAAAGATGATCAGGAAGAGGAATCCCGAGGGATTGGGGCGAGTCTTGTTAAGGTGAACCTGGCGGCATTGCGGGTGGGGATGTTAGTTTCAGGAATCGGTTCGGTTTTGGGATGCGGGTTCATGATGATGGCTCTAGTATCGCTGGTTCAGGTCAAGCTGGGATCTTTGGCTTGTAGGAGCATTTACACTCTTTCTGCAATTGCTCCTCTTGTGGTTTTGGTTCCATTAGCTCTGCTCATCTATATATGGCTTGTTTTTCATGCTTTTATCAACTGAATTAAGAAGACTATATTTTTATCCTTGAAAGATCTTGCAAAATGGCTGCTGCTGTGCTGCATATGAAAAGCTATTTCTTTGTGTATCTAGGAATAGAAACAACAACAATGAAGTCTCAAATTCGAATCGCTACCCGGGTGTGACATTAATCCTTGCAGATGGAAAAGAACAGGGAAATGGTATTTGGATGGGCAAACTCAGGTATCAGCATTTACATTTATAAAGGAAGACCTAAATTACCAATCCTTGGAACATGAAAAAAAAAAAAGACAATAGTCAACTGCTTGAGAAACTTATAAACCACCCATAGAGAGGGTAACTATCCATCATGGAGAAACCATAACGAATCCCTGCCCAAGTCTGAAGTCTGGCTATTTATTTATGTTGCGATCTTGGAAAATTATTAGTTATTGCAAGGGCTATATGCATCCTGCAAAATGTCAATAGTAAAGCAGAGAATTAGGTTTCTGTTTTGGAAACAAGTAAGGGGAAATTTAAAAAACAAAAAGAAAAGAAAGGAGGAAAAAACAGAGAATTACACAAAGGAAACGTTTGCAGAAAGTCAACACTTTATGCAACAGATACTAGTATTGCCTTTACATTTGTCTATGGTTAAACAGAACTGCAGATTTTTCTTGCCTTTACATTTGATCGTGCAACAGATTTTTCATTCACCTTCTATTTAAGTGAATCTTGCAAATAAACTTACCTACAGAAATTTCTCATGGATATGGAAGCATAGGCCTTAGTAATAAAGGGAGCCTGCAGCATTCCAGGTTTGTAGATATTAGCATAATCTAGAACCTTGCTTCCATTTAGTATCTACTTATAGCTTCGATAAAGCATCATTACCTTGCCACCAATTTCCTCTGGAAGCACCCTGTGAGTTGTTTCCGTTGGGATCATCTTCTTCCCCACATTTGTTTAACTAGTTTTGAAGTCAAAAGATATGCAGCAGAATCACTATCATACATCCATTACAGATTCATAGACTAGTGTTTTTATGAGATATCAATTAGTGTGGACTCACAATAGGGTATGACGCAGTGGTTTGAGTACTTGCAGAATGGGAATAGATGTCTTGCCCACCATAGTAAAGAGATGAACTTAGATGGCAGGGTTCTACCCTCTCTTCCTGATAAATAGAGTTCCTTTCCTTGTTGGGTGAGTTATAGGTTGCGCCCTCTGGATAAGAAGCTAATTACCCATAAAAAAGGAAAGAAAAAAACATAAAGAATGAGGCAACATTCTCAAAACTTTAATTTTATACCGTCTACGTGAAGCTCAAGTGTTTGGATTGAGATAGGGAAGTAGTTTAAAGGAAAAGTAATGACAGCTTCTTAGTTGTCTCTTATTAAATACTTGAGTTGGTGATCAAATAAACTTGGAATTTGTTTTCTGCAAGAACAAAAGGGGATGCTCTTTACTTGAGGAAAAGTGGGCTGAAATCAGAAAACATCCAGTATTTCAGATTTGCTAACCTTGCATTCCATGGTTCACATTCCAAGTTCGATTTTCAATTGGTTGTTTTTGCCAGGGTTCTAAGGCCTTTGAGCTTGAGGTGTTCCTCCCTATCACCTGAAATTACAAATTACAGAGACGAAAAAAGTTTCCATATCAGAGTAGAATATCTATAAAGGAACAACATATTTCAAAGCACAAAAAAGTACAGGTTTGAAGGCAGTACCGCATATGGAGGTGGGTCTGGTGGGAAGATGGAAGCAAAAATTCCAGTGGACAGAGATGTTGGTGACTCCTTGATCCCAAAAAGTTCAGAAATGAAGGAAGTAGAGGAACCCACTTGTCTCTTACTATCCATTCTCTCTCTCTCTCTCTCTAGCCAAACAAACAGCAAAGCACTGACTCCCCCAAGAAAACACCAGTCCAATTCTCCACACAAAGACCTGCCAATGGAAAGAAACAGATAAGATTTGCAGAGAAAATCAGCAGAAGAACACGTGAACAATGTATATTGGAGAAACCTCAAGCACTCTATCTCTCAGGAGCAATTCATCAAACACATATCCTACAGAAAGACGGCACTTTCAGTACCACCCATGTGGTGCCATCATCACCCCAAAACAATCACTTCTGTATCTTGTATGCCAAAGATTTTCTCCCCCCTTTTTCTCTTCCTCTACTTTAAAACCATAATAACAAAGGTTTTGTAGGAACTTTCTCCTCAGTTCCCTTCTCACATTCCCCTTTGGTTCAATGCTTATAATAATCCCAATCCTCAATCTTCCCTCTTCCAACTAAACATAACGGATAAGTGCCACAGTGGGTCCACCTGCCATGTAATGGATAATTGTAGCCTCTCATGCCTCCCTAGAGTCATATTCACAATATCTTAGCCAATTTCCCTCATGAGATGGGATGGGAATGGTTTTGGAGAAATCTAAGTCCTTTCAACCTAACAAGCCCGTGTGGCCAAGTGTATACTTAACCATTGGTTAAAGGTAGCTTACCTTAAGTATAGGGTTCAATCCTTATTTTTTCTTTTTTTTTTTTTTCGTTGTAGCTGTGGCCATGGCCGTTACTACTCAAAAAAGCAACTGATGGATTGCACCTTTATGCAAATTAAATATCTTTTATTAACAATTATAATTTTACTAACTTTTAACCATTACTTTTGTCAAAAATAAAATAAAATAAAAAATCCTTTCAACCTTCAAAGAAGATCAGTAGATAAGGTTGGTTGTCCGCTCACTAGCTTTTTCCTTGGATGTGCCCTAGACAGTGAGGTCCATTCAACTAAAATCCCAAGAAAATACTAGTTTACTGGAAGACGGCACCTTTCATATCTCAAAAGATGCCTTCCTATCCCAAAGAAAATAAAATTCTGATTTCCACCAAAAAAAAAAAAGAAAGAAAATAAAATTCCGAAATAAATCTCTTGTATAAGATCAATGTTCTTGGCAAACAAATATTTATTTTCAAATTTTTATCAAATTTTTTTCTATGATATATATATATATATTTTTTGATAAATTAGAGAGTTAGCTACTTGATTTAAATTTTTTATTCTTCATTTTAAATTAAGATTTTAAAGTCAGTGTTTGCTAATTTGGACAAATTCTTGTTAGTTCTATGAAAGAATAAAGCAGGTTGATTAAGTCCATTAAAGGGACAATATATTTCTCTTTAAGGGTTAATTAAATTCAGGGTTTGTCTAATTTTGGGTGTAATAAACGTATTTTTTTATAATTAATTCACAAAAAAATTATAAAAATTAATTTTTATTTTAACATTATTGACACATAAATACTTTTAATTAGTTAATTAATTAAATGAAAATCAATATTTACATTTTTAATATAAATTAATTATAAAAGATGCATTAATTATATTATTAACTTGTACTTTTTAAGATATAGGTTATAAATCCATAAAATTAACTATAAACTTACAAAATGAAAAAACAATTCAAATCAGATAAAGTACTGAACCAATTAAAGTTGATGAGTAGCATCAAACAAAAAGTAAACAAAGTTCCTTAGTATTGAGTGGTCACAAAAAAAAAAAGAAAAAAAAAAGAAAAAAGATGAATTATTTGGCAACTATTTTGGCCTTTGCTTCTCCTCATCTTCACATGATTACATCTTGAAAAGTCATCATACAATTTGATTTAGGTTTTAACCTTTGATTTTTAAAAATGATTTTAAAACTTACACCATCATATAAATAATAGAATAGGTGATCTAATCACAAATCATTATAATGTGCTAGTTTTTTTATATAATAAGTAAGAATTAAATCTTAAATTTTTACAAAAAACATAAATAACTCTATTATCATATTACACTAGCGATGATATCTCTATAATGAGTTAGTAACATACTAGCATGTCATGCCATTGCGTTGCACTTGTAACAAAAAACTATGGGGAGGGGGAAGGGGGGGAGGGGTGTTTAAGCCTGGCAGCTAGGTTGGAAAAAGAAGGTATAATTGTTAAATAGAAAAAGAACAAAAAGAGACGTGGTCGGCAGGATTCGAACCTGCGCGGGCAGAGCCCACATGATTTCTAGTCATGCCCGATAACCACTCCGGCACGACCACTTTTACGTGCGGGGTTCACTATAACTTTATAAAGCTATAATTTGAAAAGTACGCGGCATGCAAGAGATTCCGTGATGAATTGTCAAAGGATTTATTCGCATTCAACTTTGAGCTATTTTGGTGTTTTTTATTTGTAATTGTAAGGGAATACACAGGAAAGCCGCAGGATCAGAAGATTTAGATAGACACTGCATGGATTTGTATGAGTCCTCAAGACAAAAAAAGAGACATGGAAACCCATGACCATAAGGACAAAAGGAATGTTAATCATTGAAATGCATAACCATAAGCACAAAAGAAGTATTAATCATGTCTGGTGGTATGGTTACTTTTGTTTTTAGTCACACGTTTACGATTTAATCCTTAGTCTCTAGGTATAAAAGAAAAAAATTAAGTATTAATCATTACAATGGAAAATTGTGGGCAACATTCTATCTTCTCACATGGAATACAGCTAACCCCATGCTTCCTCTCTTTGCAAATAATGCCGTATCCCTATGCCAGTCTCCATGACCTCTTATGTAATTGAGATGTGATACATGCTTCTCAGTAAAGTGATTAATCTCTTTTAGCCCTGAAACCAGACAAATTTTGGATGTAAAATGAAGAAACAGTTTAATATATTATTAAATGGACAGAATTCAATCCGATGTAATGTATGGCATGTTCAATTCATTTCTGGTTGCTGGACCTAAAGTTTGTACCATGATCTCCTTTTATGATGCTTGATTGCATCAAGTACACAAATGGAGGATATTGAAAAGAGACATATATAAGATTGAAGCATCACTAGTTTGGCAGTGGCACTCAGCAAAAGAACAAGTTGAGATAAAATATATAATCCAAGAAAAATGCATCTACCCAAGCACCAAGACAGAAATATAAAGAAAGCTCCCATTCCATAAACAATTTGAGTAGATAGAAAGAACCCATATTAGTGTCCAAACCTCAGAATCTGCCAATTTATACATATTAAGTCAGATATCTAATGTAGAGGCAGGCACTTAAAAGCATGGATAAAGTTGTCATGTATATGAACTTTTGCTTAATTACGGACCAAAATGCACCTAACAACACATCTATACTTAACAAAGGAAAAAAGGAGCAAAGATCAGTGTCCAAACCTCAAAATCTGCCAAAAATCTCTTCTGGGGGGTCATAAGCATGTTTTTCAGGAAAGATCTGCTCAAAATCTTTCTTAACTTTGTTCCTTAAGAGCGGATGTGGTAGAAGCCCCTTTAACAAAATCCTGAATGGCAACTCCTCTGGTGGATCTGGAGACTTTATCATATCCTCATATATGTTCATTGCATCAGCAGGAGATCCATCTCTCAAGAAGCCCCTAATGACCTCAGTGTAAGTTTGAGAATCAGGAAACAAATTTTCCTTCTTCATACTTTCCCACAACTTCATTGCTTCATCCATTTTTCTAGATTTTGCTAATGCCAAAATTAAGTCTTTGTACAAATAGACATCAGGCTTATACCAGTCTTGCTTTTGAATCACCTCAAAAACCTGAAAATTAAAGGAGATACACATAAGCCCAAAAGAATAACCAAGGAGATGATGCACCTAAATAGAAGAACAAGGAGAGGTTAATGTAACCCGGAAACAACCTCATTGCTCATTTAAGAAGATAACATGACTGTTCCAACCGATTCTCTTAGCATTCAGTCAAAAAAGTCTCTTGAACATTTTCAAGCCAACTACCAATATATTAGAGCTGTTCAATAAACAAAATTTCCAATTTTTTTTTATATTTATATAACAAACAGAATTTCTCTAAGAATTACAACAAACAACACAGAACCCACTTCTAGACGCATAACCAATGTGATTAACAATAAAGTTCCCTTAAATATTCATCATGGCACAAAAGAAAACACCATTTCACTTCCAATATAACTAGATTGAGTAAAACAGCAGACTAAACCAAGAAAACCACAGAGGACAGATTAAGAACAGACTGAGGAAATAAAAATATAAGTAACAGGTAATGGATGTTGTTAAAAAGACACTACCTTTACAGCTAGAAAAGTCTCTTCTTGACGCTCAAGCTCACTTAGAACGGCGATCATATCCATCTTCAGTAGCCTTAAAACATGCGACTTGATAATCTTTTGAAGTTTTTCTTCATCGTCCTTAAACCTCTTTAAAGCCAGTATCACAAAAAGCGCCTCTTTGCCTATCAGCTTCTTTCCTCTCCAAAGCGGTCCCCTTGGCCTCCCATCATGGTATTGCCTAAACCCTGAAATGGGTTTGCAGAAAGTCAAGTCTAGAAGTAGGGTTTTGGGTTTTGGACGGAATGGGGTCTCTGTAGTGAGCTTCTTTGTGAGGTTCTGAAGGAGTATTGAAGTGAAAATTGGAGCTTTTGATCTTGAAAAGGCCCGAGCAGCCATTGTCAGACTCGTTCAAGATGCAAAATTTTGTTCGAAAATAAACCGTCCGAGAATCAATGCTAGCTTCCGACGAGGAAACGGGGTCGCAAGAATGAGAAGTGTGCAAAAAGGGTTAATGTTAAATTTGGTTCTCAATTTTGAAGAAATTTCAATTGAATCCCTATCGTTCTGGGTAATCAAAGATTCAGACCAATTTTTATTCACCTATATAACTATATTTATTTTGATCAGATATAATTCCATTAGGACTTTTGTGAGTCAAACCTAAAAAGAAATTAAGAATAACCTCTTAAAATTATGTTATTTTATTAAAATATTATTAAAATAATTAAAATAATTAATTTTAATTTAAAAATAAAATTTTTTAATCTTTTTTAATAAAAAAATTATTGAAAATATATACTGTGTTTTTAGGCTTTTCCTCTCTTATTTTTTAAATATCCAACTTACAAACGTTTTTTTCTTTTGGATAAAGTGTAGTGTGAAAATGATATGTAGGAAGAACCTTTCTATTTTCCCCGTCCTGTCTCCAACTCTTCATAAAGCTCTTAAACTTGAATGTCCAAATTTTACAGCTTTGATTTCCAGGAGAGATAAAAGAAACCCCAAGTATTAGGGAAAGCTTCATCCTTTAATTTAGTGAAGAAAAGCAAACGATGCTGAAGGGCGGCAAATATATGGTTACTCCATTGTTCATATTTGTTGAGTGTAAGCAAAACTCAAATCAGAAACTATGGCATTTTATGGATTGAATTCAAAGCCCCACCTACCTCCCTTCTTGCAGTTTCCATTTTAATGACATATCCACATTTTTCATGTGTTTCTATAGTATTTATGTCATTCAAAATGTTGAGCTTTCCATTGACAGTAACAGACTGGAGAATGTCAGTTGAGCCAAGTCATCTCGTCTCCATATATAATTTTCAACTGGTCCATTTACAGCTCATTCCTGGCTTCCAAGTATTAAGTGTCCTTAGCTATGACACCCCATCACTCTTTATTATTAGCATTGAAGGTCAAGCTGCCTAGCCGATATCTTCCACTACCTTTGAAGGGAAACTGATCTTTCTAATACCAATATCATCTACCATGATCTGACTGCTGACTGCCTAGCAACTCTTCGGACCTAAATCTTCACAGTTAAAACAACATCTTGAACTCACATGTCTCTTGGGGTTGACTTGGCTTATATCTACTGTTCGTTTTTCCTCAGAGGCATCACACAATCACAGAAGTACTCCCTTTTGGTTTTGAGGTTTGAACTAAATGTGTTCAAATATGGCAAATATGGCAAACTTTGATGCACACCCTCCCAAAAATATTTGTCAACTTAATTTCACAATCTACCAAAATTTTGATAAAGGAAAGAGGAGCCACTTGATAATTGATACTAGCATCTCCATCCAATTCTTGGTGTTTTGCCATCCAAATTGCAAAACATTGGACTCTAAAAGAAAAGAGAAAAAAACAATCTGCCTAAATAACTTGGCTGTTACTAGAAATTCAGAACTCCACCTAATGTCTGGTTTCAAAGTTAATTTTCTGATTTTATAATTAATACATAATAACTTTCTTTGCCTATACAAAAATACAGAAACTCGGGTGCGTAGCTAATTTCTGGTCCCAGATCACCATTTAAAGATAAAAAAGCATGTTGTCTTTTGCATTTAATTCTGTAAGGAAGGTAATAAAACGTTGCCTTATCGCATTATGAACACCTTTTGTACTTGAACAATATCTTAAAGCTCTCTAGAAAGCCTTGAATCTTGAAGAGCCTCTAACCTGCACCATTTCTGCATCGGGGAAAGTATTCTTCAATTTTATCACGAACAAGAGAGATATAAGAGAGATGGAAAGGAAAAGACAGAGGTTCAACAAGGTGGTGCTGGTTCCATTACCTCTTCAAGGCCACATAACTCCTATGCTTCAGTTAGGCACCATTCTTCACTCCAAGGGCTTCTCCATCACCGTCATTCACACCAAATTCAACTCTCCTGATCCCTCCAAGTATCCTGAATTCAGTTTCCTCTCCATACCAGATAATTTGTCGGATCAAGTCATTTCCTCAGGCAATATAATATCACTTATTTTTGAGATTAATATGAATTGCCAAGCACCGTTTCTGGAATGCTTGGTTCGAATGACGGAACAACAGAAACTCTACGATGAGATTGCCTGCATAATCTATGATGAACTTATGTACTTCTCTGACACAGCAGTAGCTCGTATGAAGCTCCCAAGTATCACCTTCTGCACCACTAGCGCGGCAACATTTAATGCTCGACTCGATCTTCTACAACTCAAAGAAGAAGGTTATCTACCATTCCAAGGTATGTTTTCTGTCCTCCTGGAACCAAATTAAAGTGTACGATGGTAATCAAACAGAAAGATGTTAAAATGTCTGTAAAAGAATTTTTCCTATGCTTTCAGAAGGTTTATCTTTTTCCTGATGCCAAAGAATCACTAACCCTCAAAATTACAACGCAGACGCTGCGTTGCAGGACTTGGTACCAGGTCTTCATCCACTCAGATTCAAGGATCTGCCACTTTCCAGATTTGGAGCAACAGAAGATTTGTTTCAGTTGATGTCTAACTTAAAAGCAAGGAAAACATCTTCTGCTCTTGTCATAAACACCGTTGACATCCTCGAAAAATCACTGCTATTACAGGTCCAACAACAGGTCCAGGGTCCAGTCTTTCCTATAGGTCCTCTGCATCTAGTTGCTCCAGACTCCTCAAGTAGCTTGTTGGAGGAGGATGGCAGCTGCATTACATGGCTTGACAAGCAAAATCGGAACTCAGTTATCTATGTAAGTCTAGGGAGTTTAGTCCTCGTGGAAGAGAATGAGGTAGCAGAAATGGCTTGGGGCCTGGCTAATAGCAAGCAGCCATTCTTGTGGGTAATTAGGCCTGGATTGGTTATTAATTCGCAAAGGAAGGAGCTATTACCGGAGGGTTTTCAAGAGACTGTTGGAGAAAATGGTTGTATAGTGAAATGGGCACCCCAGAAGGAGGTGTTAGCTCATGACTCAGTGGGAGGGTTTTGGACTCACTGTGGCTGGAATTCAACGATGGAGAGTTTATCTCAAGGGGTGCCAATGATATGCAGACCATCTTCAGGGGATCAGAGGGTCAATGCAAGGCACATCAGTCATGTATGGAGAGTGGGCTTGGAAGTAAATGACAAGCTGGAGAGAGTGGAGATAGAGAGAGCAGTTAGGAGGCTAATGGGGGCTAAAGAAGGGGGAGAGATGAGGCAGAGAGCTATAAATTTGAAGGAGAAGATTGAACTTTGCATTGGAGAGGGCGGTTCTTCCTACAACTCATCATCAGAGTTAGAAAAGCTAATTATATCCTTCACTCCTGAGTGCTGATCACACACCCATGCATGCCAGATTTTGGCCACAACCAGCAACCTTCTCAAACGCCTGGAAAGACAAAATTCTCTCACTCTCTTAAAATATAAATGGTCAGGCAATGTCTAGGGTAGCTATAAAGTTAGAACTTTAAAGGGTTAAGAAATGTTCCTAAATTGTAATCATGGTTTCTTTCAATTCCAAGCACTTTATTACCAAAAAAAATATAAGACAGTCCATCCCTATTGGACCATCGGTCTAGATATTTGCATATATGCTTCTTCTGTTTCTAAGGCAAACTACTTCCTCTATCCCAAAATAATTGCCATATTTTAGATGCATTTAATTTAATTAGATTAAATTCTCATTAAAACAATAATTATCTTGAGATAAAGAGAGTACATGACTCAATGGTCAAAATATGCGCAAGAAAGATATCCAGTGTTAAAATTACAAATATTAAAGGGTGTCCGAGCTATGTTTGATTGTCTGCAAAAACCACAGCAAGGTTAAAGGGACCATTGATGACCAGATTAATCTCTATCATATAATTGAAAGTAAAATTTGCACGGGAGGAAAAATCCATTGACATACAACTAATCGAAGAGTTAACATGCAAAAGATTATGTTTTAGTCGATCAAGTGTACAATGGAAATTATACACCAAAGGAATGACTTCACCCCTTCGGCCACACAAGTCCTTGGCTGTTCTAGGTTACAACAATCAAGATAATTCTAAAAAAATACCAGCATGCATGAAGCAGTGAACTTCAAGCCTGATACTCATACCGAAGAATCCTTCAATCTTTACCCTAGAAGCAAGGAAGCTATATGGCTCAAGTATGGAGGTAATTAGCAGCCATCATAAGCTCCAGAGTAAGTTCAGGTTCAATGGGGAATTCAGTCTCTTTACCCCTGGCAAGAGAGCAACTTTCCATCAATATATAAAACTTTCAAATGTTTATTAGTTTCAAAAATGGTAAGAGCTAACTAAAGCTGTCAGAGAAAAAGTCAATAACATAGCAAAAGGTGCAGGTAAAAGAAATTCAAATGATTTCTAGCAACAAGTTGTTAGAGACCATTATTCCATTCAAAATGCCAATGCCAATGATATAAGCCAATTGATATCAAAACAAACGAAAAGAGAGAAAACAAGTAACTCAATTCCCAATTTGTAGTTTTAGGGTTCTAATGTCTAATACATATTGGTTAGTCTTCATTTGCAAATGATGCATTCCCACAGACAACAATTTTTGAACTCCTTACTTCATTGTTTGTGCAATTATGCACTTCAAGTTACTGGTAACATATTTAATATAAAAGGAATCGAAAGCACTCACTCATCTATTTTACAACTAGATTAACCATCTAATATTTTTATGGTTTATCATACTTTGTTTATCTGCTTTCTCCTTTTCCTGTTAAACTCCAATGCAATGGCTAAGGAGTAGCCCCCCTTAACAGAGATGAAACAGCAGACCTCATCCAAAGGAATTAATGGTATCTCAATTCTCAAAGAAAAAATAAAATACTGCCACTTGAATCACATCGCAACAAGGAAGGTCCAACATTAATACGGGATTCACTGATCTATTTTCACTCCTCACCAGCAGTACAGGCTTCATTCCTAGACAAACTCAGTGTGGAAAATAACTTCCAAAAATCATTCACAATTTTTACACCATCTACCATACATAAAGCCATGGCTCAAGCCAATACCATAAGTTTCTCAACCCTTCAAACTAAAATTAAATTCTAAGAAGCTTGCAATTTTAATTTTCTTCCCCTGAAAATTGCCGTTTTTCCATAGCATTGGCAGAATTTGTTACAGCATCAACAGAGCATACTTAACCAATATTAGCAAGAAAAGATATAGGGACTTGATATAGACACAGAACCTAGCATATTGGAGAGACCAGTAGAAGTACTGGCAGATCTTCTCAAGAATGACAGTGCTTATTTCCGGGAAAGTTACTTCTCCGTGCTCCGTTTCCGCAAAGCTACCTTTAATGCACAAACCCACTAGTCATTAGTCTCAACTGCTATTAAATCCAAAACACTAAAAATTCATAAAAAAATTCATAAAAATAAAAATAACAGAACATACAAGATACTGTTCTAATTTCCTGAATATATAATCAAATTGGCCTCAAATCAAGGATTCACAATGAAAAACTGGAATCCCACAAACCCAATTAAGATCATGAGAAACCAGGAGGAGAAAAAGAAGAATCAGGGGAAACCTGGAGAGGTGAGCATGTTACGAATGGTCTGAGAAACCATGGCAGCTTCCTTATCGATGACAAATTCAAACCCTTCAGCGCTGATCAGTTTCACCGTGTCTTCTTTCCTCATCGTTGTTCTTCTCTCTCCTTCTCTGGATGCGGAGGGTTTTCAGAGAGAGAAAGAGATCGCTTGATTTTCTTGATTAAGATTTGAGTTCTGAACTGATTCTGATTCTCGACGATGAAGATGAAGATGAGAAACCGAAATTTCTGTATTTATTAGATAAATACTTTCCCTTTTTCTTTTCCTGTTTCGAGTTTTTTTGCGAAAGATTAACCTCTTGGTCCACGCGTAGTTTTCACGTCATGTAGGACCGTTTGGATGTGGGGTTTATTTTAGCTCTTGCCGCGGGTGGGATTAAGGGCGCGTTTGGAGTACAAGATTGGAGAGGATGAGATTAGGAGCATGGTTGGGTTAAATTGTAAGAGTTTTTATTTTTTTACTGTTTGTGAGTGATAAATTTAATTTTTTTTTACTTTTTGTACAGTTCATGAGTGATAAATTTAAAATTTTATTAGAGGAAATTTAAAAATTACTTTTATAGATAAAAAAATGAGTAAAAAGTGAATAAAAAAAATTAAGAAAAGAAAAAGTTAAAAACTTTAAAGTTTTAACGGTTAAGAACTTTTTAAAAATAAAAAAAAATTTAAAAATGTAAGTTTTTGAGAAAAAAATTTAAATTTATGAAACATAAATAGTGTTAAAGAGCTGAAACTCTTATAAAGTAACCCAAACATACCTTAAATTAGATTAGATTGGATTAGATTAAATAAGATATATCGAATTCAACGTTATGTTTGATGGAGTATTGAGATGAAAAAAGATTGGATGAAAGTATTAATTTTTATAGACAAAAATGCCCTTTGATAAAATTAAATCTGGTATATTTTATTTTATTTTTATTTCAATAATTAATTCTTTATTCATAAAGAAAATAATTGAAATTGTTTAATCATTTATTATTGATTGGTTGGATGAAAAAATATAACAAAATTTCAATAAATTCATTAATTTTCCTTCGTTTTCTTAAAAATCAAATAGTCAAACAAAAAGGAAATTCTCAATTGCAAACCCAAATTAATGATAAAACAAAGAAAAATTGCAACATGGCAACATCATCACATCACAATTAAAACATCACCATCCCATGCCTTGATTTTTGAATCTTTATGGAACAATGTTGTAATCCCAAAACAAAAATTTTTCAAGAAAGCTTACTTAGATTTTAAATTGATTCACAAGAAAAGCTTGTTTGGATTTATAGGGATTATCCACAATTAGGGTTCTTGCTTAACAGATTGCTTAGATTTTCTTACTGATAGCCCAAATCAATGCTTGTTGCAGCCTGATTCATGGATATGTAAGAGGAGAATCAAGAAGAGAGAAAGACAATAGTGAGAGGAGAGCTAGGAGAGAGAAATTTATCAATAAAAAGAATTAAGAAAAAGAAAATTATCAATAAATTGAATTAAAGAGGGAAAAAGTCATAATAAAAGGAGAGTGGAAAACAAAGGGGCAAGTCATGAAATTTTAATTTAGTCCTGCTGTATTCTATGGGTTTGTTGTGATAAAATTTATTTAATGAGCTGGGGATGGGATAAAAAACTAGATGAGACTTGTCCCATCTTAAACACCCTCCAAACATGGGATTAAGTGGAGTGGACAAAATTTTTGTCCCATCCCATGATTTGTCGGGATGCCAAACGTACCATATGAGAGATATGATTGTTTTCATTATGGGTTAATATCAAATCTGGTCTT